GGTCTCTTTAAGTAAAAAGGATTTCTTTAATGAGGAGGCAGTTCCAATTTTAGGAAATGGGTACCAGTGGTAGCTTAAATAATATGAATATCAAGGTTTGTGTCTTGAGTGAAAAATGAATAGATCATACGTGACCAGACACGCTGCAATTCCATCAAAATGTCCAAGTTCTTCTAACGTTACTGGATTGTGCAGGGCCATTTGGTTTCCGCGAACGAGTTGATGAAGTCTTTACTTCCTGTTCAAAACGGCGAGTCTGTCTGACCACGTGAACTCTTGGTACCAGGCCTTCTACACAAACGTTTTTCTGTCTTATCACGCACTCTTTCTCGCCTTAATAGAGGAAAGTTGCGTGACGAATCAGAGGAACGTCTGCATAGCTAGGATACTACGCCAACCGCGGCGAGTGAGCCTGTCAATAGGCTTTTAATATTATTTAATTGGAATTTTGTTAAGTTAATGAAGGAGGCTGTGCTGTCCCCTGAGAAGAATAACGTCATTAGGCCTGGTAGGCAGAGTTGAAGTGTCAAAAGGGTGGCAGGGAGGGTGGTAAGGTTACCGTTTCTCCCTAGCAGGGAGGGGTGGGGAAAACTCATAGGGCTTGCTTCTACTCAAGGTTGTCACTAGCAAGCTGTAAGGGATGGGCCATTAAAAAAATGACAGGCATGTGGTAGGCAAAAGCAATAAAGTGAAACATGTTTCTCAGTAAATAATTAAGAAAAGACATCTCTGTGGCAGACTACCTTCAATGTTTGAAAAAATTCTCGTCTCCCCCAATATTCCATCCCCCTTCAATTTTCCAATGGTCCTTCCCTTATATACTATAACTTTAACAACATACTGTAACTGTAAATTGCCATATTTCAATATTGCAAGTTTAGTTTATTGAGTACAAACATACCATATTTTAAACTAAAATAATGGACGCAGAGAACAGCCAAAACATAAATGAGCTCTGCATCCCAACAATGGGTGCATTTAACCCTTTAACCCTAAGAGTGATCAGCATCAAATTTCTCCTTGTAATATCAATGCTGTGTAGACAGAGTGGTCATGAGATTTACAGACATGACCACACAACATGAATTTGCTTGATATTTTATCAACTTCTCCCCACTACTTCAGTAGGAAATAAATAGGTGCAACAAATGAGAATTTAAATTTTGATCTTAGGGTTTAAAGGGTTAAACACTGAAAAATTTTGTTTTCCTGCAAAGGTGTTATAGGCTCATTAATTTTAAGCTAGATATATGTACGGGCCATGATTGACTATCAGAGTAGGTATGTCTTGTTTTCCCTTTCTTTTAACTTGAGAAACCGGTTTTAAAATTGTTATTTATGCATTTCTTTTTGTGAATAATTTGATGGTTTCAAGCTAAAAGACTAAGCATTAACAGTCTATAAAATTCTGATGTGTGCTTTCTTTTCTGTCTTTTATGTACCCGCAAGGCACTGATTTTTTTTCCTGGCTCAAACCTACAACCACAAACAAAAGTAGTTGGGAAGGTTGTACAAGTTACCGGAAGTTCATTTTATTTAATCTTCAAAAAAGATGGTTTTCCTTTTTGCTAAATATTACCCCCTTTTCAATGTTGGGATATAACAGAACAATTGCGCGCACAAACATTAAAGTTTTGTTCAACATTGGGCCAGAAACGGCGGAAGAAGGAAAAGAAAAAGAGGTCAAAACTAACAGCCTTCCCAACACTTTTGACGATGATTGCAGTAAATGAAAAAACTATAAGTTGGTGGAGGAAGGTCCCTCTTAGGGGTTCCCCAATCCCGCAGTCCCGACGGATTTTTCCACCTTATCCCAATCCCTAGGGTATAGGATTCCTTTCGTATCTGCGGAAGTCCAGTCGAACGGATGGTCAGAAACGAAAATGGCACGATTAAAAGGAAAACTACATGTACTAGAGACCCAGATCTCGGTTCTTTAAAAAGACATCTCCCCATTCTAAATTCGCAAATTACTGAAATTAAGGTGGCCAAATGACGCGTCCCGTTTGACGTTAATCCCTCAGTATCCCAAGGAGCAGACTGAGTCTTATTCCTCGATCTGTTTCCCGAATATTTTCGTATACAAGCCAAATCTCACATCCCGACAATCGAATCCACAAAAAAAGGAAAAGAAAGACTTTTTTTCTCTCCTTTTTCGAAATGAAAGATAAAAGAAATAGAGAAAAGAGAAGAAAAATCTTAGTGTTTCTGGCTTAATTCAACCACTAGCTTAGCGTTGTTAGAGGGAAGAATTGTAAGGGGGTCGGATCGAGCTCTTAACAATAATAATGAGCCCTGGGTTGTATGACTGCTACTTGTAATTAAAACTTCTTTCCAACACCGTACTTGCAATTCCAAATACAAGCCCCGAAATTTCTAGTTCATTTATGTCGTTTTCCAGATCATTGCTTTTTATACAACAAACTACCGAGAACTTTATAATGAATATTCATCAACGGTTATTAGAGTCGACATTGTTTTGAGAGTTATTCAGTCTGATCGTCTTTTATATCCGAACGTGTTCAGTCTCAACTTGTTCAAGATAACAACGAAGAAGGTCTATTAAATACAGAGTAAGTATTGTCATTTCATGGTGACTATTGTAGGTTCACTCTCTTAAAATTATTGTACGCAACGTATTTGTAATCCTGTAGCTAAGTCATCAAACTTATTTACTCGATAAGAATATGTACAATACTTAAATGGAATCAGTTTAGAAGTCGATGACTTTCTCGTGCTGTTTTGGGACCAATCCGTTGAGCTGCACTATTATGAAGTTAAGGGCTCAGACATTTTCAGTTGAATCTTTTTTCTTTTCATCATGTAAAACTGAATTGACTGGATTTTTAAGTTATTTTTGTGCATGCGTGATTGCGCTCATCGCTAAAATGTTTCAGGCATTGTTTAAGTGAAACTATTTTCAAGATACCCCGCAATAGTTGTTTATCAAGTATCTTATTAGATCCTCATTCTCTGTTGCACGTCGTTTTGCTGTTTGCTTGTTCGTTTATTTGTTTTCATTTATCCTTCTGTCATTTGTTTATACGTTCTTTTAGTTAGTAGTGCGACGAAAGGATCCAGTACCAAAATATTTTACGTGTTTCTTTACAATTAACTGTCTGATCCGAGTTCGCCCTGTATGTTGAGCTCCATAAGGTTGAAATTGGACTTGTTATAAATGTAGTAAAAAATATTTCAGTGAAGTTTTCACCCTCTTATCTCTGACATTTAATATCAGCCTAGACTGAATATTAATTAATAAAAAGTGTAATCTGACTTTGATGAAAGGGCTACCGTGAGTAAAAGATAGTAACGCTGATCTCGCTGTTTATCAGTGCAGTTCTGTTTTTTAAGAAAGTCAAGAAAAATCGGGGAGCACCCGCCCTTGATTTCTATAAACATCTGAATCAATCTGGCTATTGTTATTTTGTTTTTTGGTTTTACTTTATTTTGGTCCACTGAACTAAACTATGAAGCCATGAAGCTTTGTAGATCGACATGCAGATTACTCTTCTCACTTCTCCTACTGGAGTGAAGAAAAAAAATAAAGATTCTCGAGTTAGGTTAGCTGCTTCTTTGTTAACAGTGATTTTTCTTTGTGGCAAATGCTTATAAAAAAGGATTGTCGTTTCAAAGTCAATGGCTATAGTTGAATAACTGGTGTGATGTTTTGTGAATTTAATTCTTGTTAAGGTGAGAGTAAGCGGCTGTCTATTATTTGACTGACAGTGCATGTACAAAATGGCAATTATGTATCTCATGGACCCGGAAGGAATGCTCAAACTCTTGGAAATGGTGAGTTTCATTATATTAAATTATGGACCCTTGTTTGCCTTGTGTGTGGAGGCCACATAAGAGAGTGCTGACAGCGTCCATCCAATGACCCTAGGCGCCGTGCTAGAACGAGGAGGGGGGCGTGGGGATGAGGAAGCTGGTTTTCCTAGTCTCAGGCTACACGTTCATGGCTTTGGGCGAATTTTCGACCGGCTGAAAATTTTGACGGGACAATTTGTTCACACGGGACCGTTTGATATTTTTTCTCTGTTTACAAGCAACTTTGAACGGCTTGGCGTCTAAATTTTGGAACGGTGACTGTAGTAGTACTACACCGACCGCTTTTCCTCGAAAAAATGGGGCGATTAGGTAATAGTTAGCGTTTAACAAGGGGTAGCAGCCGCTGAGGGTAAATATCTCTAAATACCGATTCCTGATAAAATAAGATGATGTTTTGATTCTAGCGGTATTTTCTAACAAATCGTGTTGTATTGTGTATTTTCAGGTTCTTCTTTCGGCAGCCATAGCTTGTATCACCGAGTACCACAAAGATGTGTCCCTTTCAGACCTTCCCAACTGGGATTTTGATCGGGCGGCTCTGTTTTATGGCGTGTTTATTATTGGTCTTGTGATCGTTGTTTTCCTGTTCCTCAACTTTCTGTTTGGTTGTGCTTACAGTAAGAAATGTGGATCACCAAGAGGGTGGACGTCCTTTGTAAGTGCCTGATTTAATTATAATGCATGACTTGACTAAGCCCTGAGGCAATTAAATAATGCTCGCTAAAGCGGAAATACGCATTGCCAAAAAAAAACACGCTTGTCTCTGTTTTTAGAACTGGAACTTTCAGGTGTTTTGGACTAGGAGAAGGTGACACCCGAATTCTCTTCTTCATCCACGTCTCGCCTCTTCTAGCGCGCGGCGATTTGCACTCGCGCAAGCGAATTTTGATCTCTCAACTATCCTTGAAGAAAATAAGAGACTACTCGTAGTCTTTATTTTGCTTGAACAGAGCCTTGGTGATGCTATGGGAAAGTAACATGAATTTTCTTGTTGGGTGTCCACGTTAATATCTATACGCTTCATAAAGAGGCCTGGTTCAGTAATGATACAATTCGATGTCAATTTATTTGCAAGGCGACCCAGACGGGTCCTTCAAAAAATTTATTACTTTCCCGGAATTAATCGAACACGAGTTAGTCATCATTTTACAGCCTTTATTGTTTACCACTATACATGGTTAAGCCCTACAAAAGAGACCGTCAGCGCTTAAAATCGACTTCTCTACACTCGCAAGAAAATATGGATTTTATCCATTTTAAGCAACGGGCGGCTCCACCTCTTCAATGATGATCCTGATGGTTTGATACCAACTCGTCCAGGCGTCTCCTCCCTTAACCCCAGCACAGTCGCCAACGCTGAATCCAACTTTCACCTTCCCCGCAGAAACCCCACCGCAGTAACCCTCAATGTTGGCAGGCCTGTGGATGTTTGCGTTAATACCGTGGTAAATGACTCCATCAATGGGTGCGGGATTACTGCACTCCTTACTGTTGAAAGTGAAATACCATCTCTTGCAGCAGCCTGTGCAGCCCGTAATACGAATAATACCCATGTATACCACACGCAGGAAGGTCCCAGACTTCAGCTTGGTGAAATCGCATGCCTGTATTTTCGAGAGAAGAGTAACACAAATCCTGTTTGTGAAAACATTCGTTTTTCTGACGCAACTCGGGCAGGTGGAAATATTATTGATCAAGCAAAGAGGGAAAGGCCGTTGGCGAAATAAATAAATCTCTCAAACAGTTTAATAGCAAAAGAACGCTGGCTCAAAGGGCAAGCTGAACATGGCATAAGATGAAAATAATCAAGATCTGATGTTTTTGAGAGACTGATGATAATGGAAAATGTAAATATTTAGGAAGTTGGTACTCAAAAAGTGATAGATAAAGTGCCTGGAAGTGAGATATATATGAATATTCAGTCATCTTGTTGGGTATATAAATATATATACAAGTCCTCGATTGTTATAAAAATAGCGGCTTTTTGTTTACTTCGTAGTAGCCACTAAAAGGATTCGATTTTTCTTACCTGTGTTGCCAGTCTTTCTTTGTTAAAAAAGAAATGAGTAAATTACCCTATAATCAGTTGATATTTATTCCTTTCTCATTTCGCGCTATACTTACATGTACTTGTCCTTTGTCTCTGTCATCTCTTGACGTTTTAGAGGAAAAAACGCACTGTTTCCATCGACGTGAACTTAATGTCATTCCATGTATTCCTGGAGCCCCGATACTAAGCGTACCCGGGATGCCCGGGGTTCCTGAAATACCAGGAGTACCCGGAATCCCTGGAGCTCCGGGTTGCCCGGGAGATCCAGGTGCCCCAGGGGTTCCAGGTTGTCCCGGTTGTCCTTGAAGAGAACATTGCTACAAGATAAAATGGACAAATCTTTTTCAGAGACCACAAACTAACAGCTAACTAGTGGACATCAAGGTTTTATCAAGGGCCCATAATGTTTACTGCTCTCGATTTCATTACATTGGCAACCAGGTCAGATGAGCGTTCTATAAAACCTGGGAATACAAGATACAGACTAGACATTTAACTCTCTTGAATAGGAGAATAGATCGGTCTGATTTCAGGTTACGCCTTCTTCCTTACCAACTCCCAGGTATAAAGCGATAATTTTAAAGTGGCTTCTAGCTGAGAAGTAAACTCTATTACGAAACTCTTAATGAGTAGGACTCAGTAGAAACTAAGTTTGAGGGTGTCCAGTTAAGCCGAGAACATACACTGTATCGGCTTGTTCATAATGTAGTTCCTTAAAGATTAACTATACCTGCTGAAACCCGTTGCCTCCAATGATGATAACCCAAAGTACCAGTGCGTTGACAAAAATTAGATGTAGTTTCATGCCTGGTTCAGTTCAAAAAATACGGATCAGTTTAACACACATGCACCGCCTTAGTTTAATGTTGGGTTGTGTCTTAAAATATGGCCAGCTGACAGGAGCCCATGATGTTTATAAATATTACTATTTTGAAGCTCTTCACGTCTTTGCTGTATTTTAATCAGTATTAGCTTTTAGCTTCTGAGTGTGTAACGACAAAAAAGATACGATTGAATCTTTGTCTTACAAACGAACAAGCAGCATTAAAGAAGTTATAGTTGTATTTTTGTAGTTCTTTTCAACAGAAAATATTGCAAACGAAAAATTCTGAGAAATGTTCCATTAAGTATCTAGCTTGTGTACCACCAACTATGTACATTGTAATAAATTTCAAGATAAAGAAAGGTGATTTAAGTTAATTCTGTTTATTATACTGGAAGGCAGATAAAACTGATTTCGCTATAGACTTTGACCACAAGTCGAGCTCAAAATTTCTAGCAGGAGCTAGAAATTTTTTATGTTTTAGGTGGACCAGAAACGAGAAGTGAAGGACTTTAGAAAGTCTTCATGATTTCGCTACTAAAAATGTCTGAAGTGGAATTTTAGGACCTTTTATTCTAGCTTGATGATAATTGAAGCGCAAAAACATAGCAATTTATAAAATCTCTAGTTTCTTACCTTCAGTATCAAATATGACTATTCAAGAGTCTGGCTTGTCTGAACTCAATGATCTAGAAAAAATAGAAATCAAGTGGATAAGGGTTCCAGAAAACTAAGAAACTGGCAAAAAGTTGCGACCTTACCGTCCGTCGTCAGATTAGCTAAATCACAACTCGCTGATAAACACTACTGAACTACAAAAAATCCTTGTTTTCTTGGTTAGCAAGTTCCCGTTGAAACAAGTTTATGTATCAGAATATAATTATGCACATTAGAACGTGATTTGCAATTATCATTCAAGCCACGCTATCTTGCTTTTGGCTGATTTCCTTTGTCACTGATGTTGTAAACATGTCAGGTTATAGATACCCTGCGAGCAGAGGCCCTCAGGGGCAGGGTTGCTGGCAAAAGACCCTTTATAGACAAGCCTCGGGAGATCTTACCGATTTTAAAAGCTCTCGGGTTCTTGTCGATTTTTAAAGCTTTTACAAAGCACCACTGACAAGCAACCCGAGTCTCAAAGCCCGTTTGTGTGGTTTGTTCACCTAAGAATTTCGGATTTTGTAGTAATCTCTAGATCACCTAGAAATATCGTAACTTTCGTAGTAATCTTCCTAGATAAGTAGGAAGATCGAAGGGTCTCTGCTTGCAGGGTAGGTTATAGAAAGCTACGTATTAAATCTCTTCTTTTAAAAGGAGATAAGCCCATTAATACTGATCATTTATGACTTGTATATAATTCTAAATTAAAGATTTCAATTGTCTTCCTAATAATGGCTGAGGGAAATCATGTTCTGATCGTTAAAATATATTGTTCCACTCAATTCAAGGCCGGGGTTTAAGGCCTGGCATAAGTCCAATGAGTGTTCAGAGAATATGATTGATTGGCAATATCTTTCGCTAGGATAGCTAGAACAAGGTGAATTTTTTTTCCCAAAAGTATATCTTGAGGTCTTCTTGTGACATAGCTATTAATTATGGTCACGTGACATGTCTCGTGACTAAAAATTGAAAATGAAGGAAATTGGTACCCTGGGTGCCAGAGGGTTTTCATGCGCGGTTTCCGGTTTCGGTCAAGTCTTAAGAAGTGCTTCGCCACTCGTGTCATCGCCTTTCGGCCGACGAAGTTCCTAGTAGCACGCGAGAAAAAACCTCTGGTACCCAGCGCAGGAAATTGGCAAATTGGTGGCGAATTTACTTTCTTTGGATAAATAAACTGGCGTTTCTGATAGCGGATAAACATAGTTTACTTCCTACGTTTGAAATAAATGTATACTGACCCCCCCCCCCCCCCCCCCCCCCCCCCCCCCCCCCCATCTCTCCCTCCCTTTTCTCCCACCCCTCTTTTCTCGCCCCCCAGCCCCCACCCCCAACTTCTCTATTATTTTTTTTTATTTTTCTAATTGACAGGATCTTTAACAAAAGAGTCGCGCCCCACTGTACTTATAAAAAAAAAAAAAATATTTTATTTTTTTTTCGGGAAAAAAACCTCGCATCACAGCGCGGGAAAAATGTAAAATTGGTGGGCATTTATTTTTTTTTGAAAAATAAAACTGTGTGTTTCAAAAAGGGAAAAAAAATTTTTTTTCCTTCCTTTTAAAAAAAAATATTCCCCCCCCCCCCCCCCCCCCCCTCTTACGACCACCTCGGTAATACGTTCACCTCATTATTACGGCCACTTTTTTGGGCCGCCCGTCAAAACGACCATACATTTTCTTGTAATTTTTTAATTGAAGTGCAATGGACAGTCATTCCAAACATGGAGTGCCAGAGTTACTTAATATGAATAAGAACAATGTTATTATTTGATTTTTTTTTCTTAAACCCGTCACCGATTTGACAATTGTTTACCAACCAACCAACATGATATTTATACTCTAAAATATTAAGGACGATGAGTTCTTTATGTGTACCAAATTTTAATTCATTTCCTTCCTCTTTCCCGAAGATATAGCCAGTAAATCATTTTTCATAGGTAAACCCATCAAACCCAGGCGTTGAACTACTTGAGCATTTCCAGAAGGCTATTTGCACAGTAGAATCCCTGCGAGTGAAGCTCCTAATAGACTACCAAAAAGGCTTTGAAAGGTCACGAGTTCGAATTCATTTCTTAATCTTACAGTAAAAAATATGGATCACAACTAGGGTAGACTTCCTTTGTAAGTAAAAACGGTTTACTCAATTTTCATAACCGCAACCTGAAGGTACTTTACCGAGGTGCTTTGGACTAAGAGTAGTCCTTCGTTTTCTTCACTATAAAGGGATTATTGAGCAAGTATAATACGCAAGCGTGAGCGAAAAGCGCCACCGACGAGATGAAGGTGACACCCGCCAGAGTACCTACCCTCTATTCAAATTGGAAAAACGGAAAATCAGTTGGTTTGGTGAATTCCGTCTGAGAAGCTTCAGTGAAAAATACGGGCTGTGATTTGACGCGATGCAATTTCTTTTTAATCTGTTCAGAAGATTTGGATATACTTTTTAGTGGGCCGCTCTCCTACCACGTCAAAGTTATAGTTTATGTTTATGCACAAGGTTTCTACTCAGGTGGTTTGTGCAAATGGTAATCAACCCCGGTTTCTCTCCTTCCTCCTCGTCTCGTCTCTTCATGCGCGCGTTTATTTTACGTGCGCTCGCGAATTTCGATCCCCCAACTATCCCTGAGGATAATGAGACACTGCTCGTACTCTATAGATTCTTGGGCAGAGCGTTGGTGACGCTTTTGTTAAAGGGCAACTCTCGCGTAGGACATCTTGTTTGGGAAAAACCTTGCAAATGTTTTTCTTATTGTAATCCCATCAAGAAATATATCTTCAACGATCTTTTTGGCTCCGAAATCAAAATTCAAAGTGTTACATTTGCCGCTTATTCGATCTTCCGCCATTAACGCTTCGATTTTGCTGATCACGCGACGTGACGTCACACGTGTGGAACAACAAATGATCTCGAATATGGCTGACTGTAGTTCTTCAAGTGATAGTGCTACCTCCTTATTCGATTATTCGGATGTAGAAGAACTTTTAGATATATCCGCGGCGCTTTATGGAAACCCGTAAATTATGATGCAATTTGATGAAATCATGCTTGCAGGGCACTCAAACGCCCGGGGAGGGGTACTTTCCTACAAAAGTGACGGGGGTGCTAATCATACCTTCTAGGGGTTTAAATTTGTGGATTAGAACCACTTAGGGTGCTAAAACCTAAAATGACTGATTAGCATAAAGATTTATGACAATACTTTCAAAAAGTCCTTGAGAGGAAAGTGTTCGAAAGTTATTTTATTACTATTAAAATTTGCAGTGCCAGTTATATAATTTGTTGTTGTTGAATTTGGGGTGGAAATGAATTTGGGACAAGCCCATAAAACAAGATTCTGGTACCTTTTAGGAGTAACCTGAGATCAGGATCAATTTTCTTTTCGCTTTGTAAATAGCATTCCGGCGGGTAAGGCGACCAATTTTAGCGGTAGCCATCAGAAAGAATGTATGAGAACCGCTAAAATTGGGCCTGATCTCAGGCTATTTAGGAGTCTAAATTTTCCGACAAGCACCTTCGTCACTTTTATAGGGGAGTACCCCCCGGACTCAAACTGTTCCTTCAAAAAATTAATTACTTTCCCGGAATTAATCGAACACAAGTTAGTCGTGATCTTGCAGCCTTTATTGATTACCACTATACATGGTTAATCCCTACAAAAGAGACCGTCAGCGCTTTAACATCGACTTCTCTATACCAGCAAGAAAATCCGGATTTTATCTATTTTAAGCAACGGGCGGCTCCACCTCTTCAATGATGATCCTGATGGTTTGATACCAACTCGTCCAGGCGTCTCCTGTGCTTGCCCCTGATCCAGTACAGTCGCCAACGTTGAATCCAACTTGCACCTTTCCTGCTGGAATCCCACCGCAATAGCCCTCAATGTTGGTAGACCTGTGGATGTTTATTTCGTTGCTGTGGTAAACAATGCCATCGATGGGCGCTGGTTTGCTGCACTCCTTACTGTTGAAAGTGAAGTACCATCTCTTGCAGCAGGTTTTGCAGCTCCGAATACGAGTGACACCCATGTATACCACTCGCAAGAAAGTGCCAGACTTCAGCTTGGTGAAATCACATACCTGAGGTCACGCGAAAAAGATTGAATACGCCATTTCCGAGTTCCAAAAAATCTCACCTTCAAAGCGAGGCTAAGTGCGAAGCCATTGATACGAAAATGATTTTTAATTATGATGCAAATAAAACTCATTTTCACAACAAAGGTTTCGCACTTAGCCTCGTTTTGAAAGTGAGATTTTTTGGGACTCGGAAATGTCCTATTAAAATGAAAAGAGAGGAGAAGTGGTTACGTCACGTTGCCATGGTAGCAAATTTTGGATGACAACAAACCAAAAACGTAAATTCGCACTGTTTCAAACTTCATCGATTTTATTCAATTTCATTTAATTTGTCAAATGTTCGCAAATTTTCTAGGGTTAAATCCGAAAGGACCGTATCTAAGTTAAGAAAAAGAAAAAAAAATTTTGCGTTGTGCTCGCCTACTTCGTAAAGCGGGTGCGTGAAGTTAAAAAGTTTCACGTCGCAGTCCTGCAACGACGGGTGAGAAACTTAAAAAAAAGCGCGATGCACGTGCACAATTGTTGTTTTGCAGATATAAACCTATTGTTTTTTTTGCCGTTCTCGTTGCCGTCGCCGGCGTCGTTGCTTAAGCTCCTTGTTGTTGTGATCCAGACATTTTGCTACCATGGTAACGTGACGTCACACTTTTCTTAAATTTTAATCATGCGGGTCAGCACACTTGTCGAAACATTCACTAAATATTACTAAACTAGCTAATGAGAGGTCGATCAAAGGGAAACAGGAGAAAACTAAGACTACAAAAAGATCTTTGTTACCAGTTAGCATGATCCTTTCCGTTTTTTAAGAGCCTTGGTAGTGTTCCAGGTCGTTGAACCTGAGTCTCTCACAACCTCGCAAGCCTCGGCAATATTAATATAATGAGATTGAGGCCCCGTCTACACGTATCGGCATCTTTTTCTTTCCGGATTAAAAAATTTCTACGTCCACACGTATCCGTATTCAAATCGAATTTGCCCGTCCACACGTATCCGACACGTATGCGGATTTACTATAGTACCCAGGACTTCTCTGGGAACATTGGCAACAGAGCATGCTTCGTAAAGACAGGTAAGAGAGAGAACCTGGGAACGAGGTTTCCATCTTGAATACAGTGAATACAGTATTCACGGTAAACAACTGGGTGATTCGATCTGGTAACTTTACAGGATAAACAATACCCGGATTTAGCGTCCACGCGATTCTGGATTCATAGCGTATTCAAAAATTTCCACACTGGAGAGCGGATTAAAAAAGTTGCGGATTCGTATTCCAGATTCACCGGATACGTGTGGACGGAAGTCGTATCCGGAAGGAAAAAGTTGCGGATTCAAAAATATCCGGATCTGTGTGGACGGCCGGGGCCTGAGTCTCCAACTGAACTGTCTGCGGTGCCTTACCATCTTAATTACGAGACAATCAGTTAATATCCACTGAATATACCTACATGCACTTGCCCACTGTCTCTGTTATCCCGTGAATTGGAAGATGGCCAAACGCATTGTTTCCATCGCCTTGAGCTAAATGCCATTCCAGGAGTTCCACAGTTACCAGCGGTTCCTGGAGTACCGGGGGTGCCTGGGGTACCAGGGCTACCCGGAATTCCCGGAGCTCCGGATGCTCCAGGTGCCCCAGGGGTCCCTGGCAGTCCCGGTTGTCCTTGAGAGGAACATTCCTATGGGATAAATGAATTCGGCAGATGCTGGACCTTACAAATGTTTATCCAGCGCCTTAGAATATTACAACTCACATAGAAACTCTGAAAATTGTCACTGAGTGCAAGCTGTATAAAGATTTAAGTTCTTGAAAACGGGATAAAAGAGCAACTCAATCAAAGAGGGTCTTCATCTAAGGGCAGACAGATAATATCCAACTAGCCTGCCAGCAAGTTGGTGCTCTGGCGTAACATATATTTCCTTAATGAATGGCTGAAACGATACCTGCTTTGTACTGCTGCCAATACAGATGATGGACAATGGTAAGAGAATGATGAAAATGTGATAACTGAAATACTCTTTCATGTCGGCTGGTTCTGTTTAAAAGAACAAACAATCAAAGTCACGGATATTACAAACTACCCATTTAATAGCGCAGCTTAGAGGTTTTTCCCTTCTCTAATGTCGTGATCGGGTGTCATGATCATGAGGCCCGCGGATGAAACGAGAAAGGTTTCAAAACTGAACTTTTTTAAAAAGGCTAGTAAAAAAAAAAAAACCAATTCCAGCCACTGAAAGAAACAGGTAAAATGATCTTTTACCTACCTCTTGCACTTTTTTAAATCCCAAATTTCTGATACCATTAAATCCTCTCCTATTCCTTTCACGCTTGGAACACTGGCAAAAATCACAAGGAGCAAGGTCCGTGTGGTTTTCGTCCATTTGATTTTCATTCAATATTGGAAATTGAAAATCAAAACTTCACAATCGTGATTTTCAATGTTTGATTCCTCAAAAATTGAAAATCAAAAATTTACAAACTCAATTTTCAATTTTTGTTGTTAAGAAAAGTAAAATTAAACATCATTCTTCAATATTTTGAAAATCAAAAACTATTGAAAATGGCCAGTTAGTGGTTTTAACTTTTTGTTTACAATTTCCTCCTCCCAAGATTCAAGCTATTAAAAATTCAAACTTAACAAAGCAATTCATGTGTAACAAATTCTGCAAGAAACGGTGTTACTGCTGGTGAAATACAAAATAAAAATCGTTTTTTGATTTTCGTATTTATGAAAAACAAAATTGCCAACCAACCAAAAATACCTGTTATACGCTCTTCTCACGTATGGTAATATGCCCGTCTAACCTCGTTTTTGAGTAAAAAATCCTTTGAAATGCTAATCAGACGACGTTTTCGTATTTCAATTTCAAAAGAATTTTTACCCGTAAACGAGGTTAGACGGGCATATTACCATATGTGAGAAGAGCGTATGGAAGGGGAGGCTAAAACCAGAAGTGGCGCGGCTGCAAACAAGATGGCGGTCGTCTTGAAGTGACCGAGTGTTCCGTGTCTTCGTCGAGCTGTCTTTAGAGGAAATGTTAAGCCAACGGCAGTCTAAGGCCTGCCTGTATCATGGCCGAGACGTTTTCAAAGAAATGAGCTGAATGTTTTTCACTGGTAGTACGCCTTTGTTGTAACCTTGCAGCATTACGCTACGCAGGGTGGAGCGTTTTAGATCGCGTAGTATAAATGAGGGACTGCGGACTGCGGACTGCGAACTGCGGACCACGGACTGCAGACTGGGTGTATATAAAACACGGACCAGCTGCAGGTATATAATGCAAACTACGTGCCATGTTTTGGTCTAATAATATTGTCACTCGACCGTAGCCAAACAAACGCCTTGTTAATTTTGATCGAACCGCTCGGGAAAATTGAAAAATGACGAGGGAAAACTTTACTTTGGAGTTAGAAAATTAGCAAAATGAAAAGCCCTTATATTATAGTTAAATATTTCAGTGGTACATTGAGTACTTTTAGTGTACAGAATCAGCACGACGACAAAACATCCGAAAATCGCACTCGATTTTAGTGAGGCGCCGAAAGGGGCGTGGTCGCAAAATTCAATTAAAGACTATTTGTACCCCTTGAGAAAGGGAATCTGTTTCCTTGGGTGTTGACTCTAGTTATACTTCCCTGTGCGAACAGGAATGTATCGAAATGTCATCATTGCGTTCGAGGTACGAGAACGCAACCCCTAATTTGTGTTGGGTGTTCTGTGCATTATTGGGTGTCCTGTGCAATTAATAAGGGAGGTTTTTTCGAGATTGCATTTGTCGTCGACACACATTTGCCTCACTTTGAGGCGCTTGCTTACGTTTTACCTCACTTTGACGCGCTAACTCACGTGGTGATACGTGTGTCCTCGGCGTTCATCTTTCAAACGTTTGCTGAGGTCTGCTATTCTGTCTTCGTAAATCGTTCACCTTTTAAAAGTGTGCTGACTCTTCGTAAAGCGTACATATTTAAGAGTTTGCTGAAGGTCTACTATCGATCTGTGTTTAATGAATCTTCCAAAGCGTTCATCTTTCAAAAGTGTGCTGAAGGTTTACACCCTGAGTAAAATCTTACTTTGGATTAAGCCTTCATATTTTTCTTTGGAAAATGCGTGCTACGCCTGGTGCATGCATCAAACCGGATTGTTTAGCTCGGCGTCCGTTGAACCACAAAGTAAACTTGCTGGCGAGTTGTGAAGCTCAGCGTCTGTATGTTGTGCCACAAAGTAAATCTACTGTTATTCCACAAACGGTTTCCGGCATTTTATAGTAAAATTCAGTAATTGTCTACATGTGGAATTCCCAATATTAAATATAATTAACGATTACATCTAAAACTTTGTCAACTGTTTGCTTTTTAACAGTACCTGGGCTTGGTTGTTCAAAGCTGGGTTAAGATAACCCAGGCGAGGAGGGTTAGTGCGAAATTTGATCTCATATGTGAAAGCTTCATTTTTCCAACAAGTTGATGATTAGACGCTCTTAAAAACAACTGAGAAAATTATCCAAAGAAATGTTTTTTTAACGAAAGAAAAAGAAACCCGGGTTAAGCGCTGATCGGCCTTCGAACAACTGCGCCCAGTAGAACATCTATTGCGCCATCAAAACAAAAAGTTCTTTTTACACGCCCGAAGCACTCTGGCCAGTATCTCCTCAAATAAAAAGCACTTGACACAAACCATACGATACCATGCTGATCACTAGCCTTCAAAACATTTTCATTATGATACACAGTTTAAGTCGAGGTTTCACTGTACGCAATCCTTACGTTCAAAATATACCATAATCATAGTTATCTATCGCAAGAACCATCCACCCTTTCCTCCAACTGCTATATACCTGTACGCCTAGCAAACATATCGAACGCACTCTCGTAAGCTCCGATTACTCCAAGTTTTTAAATAACCTGTATCAAATAGGCTGAAATGACTGGATATCTTTCGACTTCGCGTATACGATCGCTGCGCAAAAGCAAACTAAAAATTGCCGAACAGGTTGTAAGTTGCGTATGCCGCCCTTACGGTATATGAATCGTTTCTTCTCTTACATTTAAAGGATTAACATAAAACAAAACACGTTTGATTTCGTGATCTAAGGTCCTTCCAATATTCAAAAAGAGAGAAAAATTCTTTGTAAGCTTTGATTAATTTTATTTTTTAATTTGTTTTTTTATTTCCACTACTTTCAAGATTAGTCAGAAGTCATGAATCCGAGTAAATTTTAGGAGAATGATTTTTCTATCTTTTTTTCTTTTTTTTAAATTTTGGGTGCGACACAGCTATCCTTAGTCTAACTGAACAATTCAAGAAAGAATTAGATAATCACAAAGTCATTAGTCTGGTGTCTATGGACCTGTCAAAAGCATTTGACACACTTCCCCATGATCTTATTGTCAAAAAGCTTGAAGATTACGGTGGAGACTCAAAAGTTATCAATCTCGTTACGAATTATTTAAGTGACAGACAGCAACGTGTCAGACTAAGTGGACAGCACTCTTCTATGAAAACTATAATGAAGGGTGTCTTCCAGGGATCAATTTTGAGTCCCATTCTCTTTAATATTTTCATGAATGACCTGTCTTATGCTATAGATGAATGCACATTATTCACGTACGCCGATGACACTCAATTGTTTAAGTCCGCGGAAGATATGGACCAGGTTGAACATGCCATAAATGCCGATCTGAAAAAGGTTGATAAGTGGTATAAATTCAATCAAATGAAAAGAAATCATTCAAAATATCAAGCAATTACTTTTGGAAGGGTCGAGAGAAATCCTGTGTTGACCTGTGAAGGAACTGTTATCCCTATTCAAGACGAAATGGAACTCCTTAGCGTCACTCTCGATAACAAGCTTAAGTTTGAGGGACAGATTCGTAAAATCTATCGTAAAGTTAGTCAAAAGGTTGCAGTTCTCGATAGTCTGAAGAAAATATTGCCTTTTGAATTGAGGATAGATAAATATCGTGCTTTCGTTGCAACGCGTTTCAATTACTGTTCAGAGTCGTAGCATCACTGTGGTAAAAGAGGTTGCGGCAAACTTGAGAAAATCAATGAACGAGCCCTTCGCTTTGTGACCCGTGATAAGTCAGCCACCTACGAGACGTTGCTAAAACAACTAAACCTGCTGTCCCCACTTAATCAAAGAATTGTTAAAATGGCCACTGGTGTTTACAAAGCTATCCATGGGTATAAAGTCCCTCGAGGAATAGGAGAGCTATTGCATGAACGATCAACTAATTATAATCTTAGAGGAAAACACATCCTCGAGCTACCCAAAGTAAATACAACCACCTAAAGTGGACTTAATTCGTGGCGTTATACTGCAGCTAAGATTTGGAACGCTCTTCCGGATCAGTTTCGGGCCGCTAATAAAATCGGAACATTTAAGAACTTGATGTCTAAGTTCGATTTCTCAAATTTTACATTTTAATCGCGCAAATACATGTAAATACATTTTGCTTAGTTTTAACATCATTATGTAATAATCTTGTGATCTACTCTTAGTTTTAATAATTTTTAACTGTATATATATATATTTTTATATAGGTTTTTATGAGAAATCTTCTCTTTCTATTATTATTTCTAGTTTATTTATTTATTTTTCGTGGCATTTATTTGTAAAGTAGCTAATTAGCTAAGAACATTGACCACGTTAAATAAAGGGTATTAAATTATATATTTTATTATATATTCCAAATATCTTTTGTAGTTTAAAGATCTTCACTGTTCAAACCATTCAAAACTGACAAAAAGATAAGTCTCATAAAAGTCTTTATTAATGACAAAATCGCGTCCACATAACAATTTTTCATTGATCATTCTAGATCGCACTTCTATCTTAAAAGAAGATAACTGACTTTAAGAAAAGACAGGGCCGACGTTTATTTGAATGCAATGTGTTTCTTAGGTATGATCGTCTCCAATTACTGCTTTGTTTAATTCTAAACTCATTTTCTTGGTATACGCACACTTCAGCTCTCTTAATCAGCTTGTGTGTAGTTTTTCGCTTCTTTCGCTTGTTTTTCC